CTCTGACAACGTCCCTGTATTCCTCCCAAGCAGCCTGTCCCCTTTTCCACGTTCTGTAGACTTCCTCCTTCTGCTGGAGTTTTGTCAGGAGTTCCTTGCTCATCCATGCAGGTCTCCTGCCCGCTTTGCTGGACTTTTTACTCAGAGGGATGCACTGCTCTTGAGCCCGGAGGAGGTGATGCTTGAATATTAACCAGCTCTCCTGGACCCCCCTTCCTTCTAGGACCCTACCCCATGAGATTCCCCTAAGTAGGTCCCTGAAGAGGCCAAAGTCAGCTCTCCTGAAGTCCAGGGTTGCAGCCTTACTTATTGCCCTGCTTCCTCCTCGCAGGATCCTGAACTCCACCATCTCATGGTCACTGCAGCCAAGGCTGCCCCCAACCTTCACATCTCCAACCAGACCCTCTCTGTTCGTTAGTACAAGGTCTAGCAGCACACCTCTCCTCGTTGGCGTCTCCACCACCTCGGTCAAGAAAATCATCATCAATTGTCTGCAGGAACCTCCTCGACTGCTTGTGCCTAGCTGTGCTCTCTTCCCAGCAGATGTCAGGATGATTGAAGTCTCCCATGAGAACTAGGGCCTGTGATCGTGAGGCTACTTCCAGCTGTCTGTAGAAGCCTCATCGACAACTTCTTCCTGATCAGGAGGCCTGTGGTAACTCCACACAGTCTAGTTGCTACCTCACATAAAGAGCAACTCCACCACCTCGCCTTGCTTATACGAGGCTTATAGGTGAAGAGGAACATACAACCCTCAAGATATACTTTAGCAGTAGGAATTTCAAGAATCAGATTTTTTTATTCTTCAAATAAATTTGGACAATCTGTTTCTGAGGCAGTTGCAGCATCATAGGCTCCTTTATCTGCTGGCTTGCCAGTTAGCTGATAAGGAAGAAGAGTGGAGTTCAGGAAACACAGAAAAGATGTGTACTTAGGCCAGAAATCCCTTTCCATTTGAAGGATATGACGTGAAGTTTGCATCTGATGATTTGACTGTTCTTCAGCTTCTTAAAAAGCTTGTTAGTTTGGTGTGCTTTGAGTAGTCTCTGACTTGGGAATATATAAAGGTTGCAATAAGCTGATGTCTCAGTATAGACTTTCCTGTAATGCTGTTTCCTTGCATGTCATTTGGAGTAGTTGAAGTGGAATATTTGTCACACCTGTTCAGTTTGTCATCTCTGAACTGATTTGGAATTGGTTCATGCTACTTTAGGACACCTTCAGATAAACTTTGTATTAAGGATGTTGATAGCGGCAGCTATAGCAAAAAGAATATACTGGTGTGATCCTGGTGGATGTCAGAAGAATAGGTTGTCAAACTTCAAGTTTCAAGACATCTAGTCTATGGGAATTTCAACGATGGGTAACTTCTGACCTCCTTTTCCTGAAACGGAAAGTAAGATTGTTTTCAGCTTTTTATAAAGAATAAATGAGAGTCAGCAGTGACTTTGTGAAGCCAGCTGAAATATGTGCATCTAGTGCATCTTTGTAATTGACCCCCTTGGTGAATGTTAAGGTTCCAGGAGAAAGAAATATGGTAGGGAGTTCTTAGATAGTGGTAAGAAACTGAAGCACAAAGTAAGCTTACTCTGTGCTGCAGTTTTTGGAGGCTTGCCTCCAGAATTCTGGGGTGTGGAATCCACTACTGAAAACTTGGAGGTAGAATTGCAAATAACTTAAATAAACAATAGTTTACAGATCTGAATGAGAAAGCTTTGTTAGAGATGAACTAATTTTAACATTTGTAGTCAAGTAAAGGTTAAAGGAAAACATACCTATTCACTTTTAGAAAATGGTTTCTTCTCTTTTTTTTTTTTCCTCCCCCCCCCCCCCCCTCCCCCCCCCCCACCCACACATAAAAAACTTTAATTTTTGTGGCTTCTTTTGCAGTGCTCCTATGATCATTCCATTATTTTATTTTATTTTTGCTTTTTTTCCTAGAGATGTGAATTATGCCCTCATAAGGATGGTGCTTTAAAGAGAACAGATAATGGGGGTAAGTTTTATTCTTATTTTTTGTGAACTTTCTTATCTTATATGAGGGAAATAAGACTGTGAAAAGAATACATAGGGATCCTAACCATAAACCAAAATGAGCAACTAGTTTATCACAGTAGCTGGTTTGGAAAGAGGTAAATATTTCACGATAGGCTTTACTTGTCCAGTTTAGGTTGAATTTAGTTTGAGAACATCAATTGTTATTTTTCGTTTTACTTTTAGATAAAAGAGTACAGGAGAAACTGCATTGTAAGAGAAGATTTAATATTAAGGCTTGACAGAGATAAAGGAGAGATTGTGTATGTATTCAGTTGGAGTTTGAATGTTTATAGAAAGCTGTTCGAAGTGCATCCTTCATTCTTATTCATGGAGGAGAGTGCATTTTTAAGTCTGTACCCCAGACTGAATGCACCAGTGCATTTTAAAAGGATAACTTTCATGCATGGCTTACTAATAGGTTCTACAACAAAGAAGTTAGAGATAAAAAGTTGCAGTAGTGATTTACTGTGCCTTGCATCTTTCTAATTGCATCATTCAGGATATCATCATCCTGCTGAGTAGAATTGCTAAAGGTAGTCTACTGAAAAGTCTATCTTGGTTATGTTTTTGGTAGTAGCTGGGTGATATAAAATTAACTTTTCAATCATTTTTGGAGAAAACCTTGTTCTGTCTTTATTAGATACCTCTAAATTCCTGTCCCTCATCTGTCTGGAATTAGCCTACTCATTTGGACAGTAAGACACTTCTCTTGTGAGGGGAGAAAGGATGATCAGCATTCTAGATTTCATTTGGACAATCTGTATACATTATATTCTGAAGGTTTTATGCTGCGTACATAATATTCTAACTAAATTTATATCTTTGCTTAGTGTTGATGTAATTGAGGCAGCTTTGTTTACTGTTTGTGTAGCAGTTGAGTTACAAGAGCACAGAGCCCACTTGAATTGGGGCTGATCTGTACTTTCTCTTAGGTATACTTTGTGGTGTGGAGTGTATGTTCTAGCATTACTCATTCTAGTATCTGGTCATCTCAAGCATGTTAATGAATGTAGTGTCATTTGTGGGTGTTGGGAGGTTGTATTGACTCTGTGTTGTCTCTGTATCAGTTAAAGTATCTTAAGTACCAGTACAGTACTTTAGCCATGGAACTATTCTTCCTCTCAAAGGTTGATAACATGGCAGTGTTGAGTTCATTTCTTCAAAAATAGAAGCTGGATACTCGCTTTTCAGGAAATGGGCAATAGGAAAGTCTCAGCTCTTGAAAGCTACAGTAAATTTTTTTAAACTAAAAAGTAACTGAAGTGTTTCTGTTTTTATACCTAGTGGTAGTCAGGAATGCTTAGTTTTTTTTGTATGGTAATTTTGAGGCTGCTTTTTTTTTTTTTTTTTTTTGGTCTCCCATGAAGTGTTGAAAGCATATCTTGACAGTGTACATCAAAGATCTGAGCAACTAACCAATAATTCCTCCTGCAGTATTTTTAAGATAGTCATTGTTCAAAGTTCCATCTAACATGGTAACTTATTTTCAGATATGAATTCACAAGAATGTAAATTATTTAAATTTATATTGCAAAGATGTTAGTTCTCATTTTCATGACAAAATATTTTCATCAATATACTTGACCGTTACAATATAGCCATATTTCTTACTTCTGACATACACAACCTCATTGTATTGCAGATAGTTTTTGTTCTTTTCACGTGTTCTGTTTTCTACTTAACACTGGAATTACATGACTTTGTCATTTGTTCTGGAACTGCATCAACTACTAGAATTCTTATGGACCTATAAGACATAAGACGAAGGCAGTGACCAAAAGAGCCAGCGTCCAAGACACTTTAAGCGGTCTTTGAGTGTAGTCTGTTATCTCAGTTCTTGCTCTTGCTATACTGTTTGGGCATTGTGCTCTCTTAGACCCAAGTTCCTATTAGAGTTACAGGATTATACTGGCTATAGGATCTCTTTTTGTCATACCTGTAGGATATACTCAACTTCCAATATTTAATTTGAAAATCAGTTTTCATCAACTAGCATTGTTGGACAGGTTGCGTTCAGCTATTTCACCTGTATTACAGGGGAGTTTCTAAATTATAATATTATTGAGATGACATTTCTGTCAACCCTCGTGACTATACAAAAGCTTCATAGCAGAAAAGTCTTAAGTATTTTTTATTACACTTTCTGAAAACAGCTGTCCTTCCATAATAGGCCTTACAGGTCATGGTATTGAATACAGCAATTTCTACCTTATGGACCAAATGTGCTTTAAATAACAGCTGTACAGAAGGGTGTGAACTCGGACAAGCCTTGCATTTCGGAAATCTGTATTGTTAGCCTGAAGCTTTCCTTTCAAAATGTCATCTAATAAGGGATTGGGATTGTTCCAGAACAGTTTCAGGCTTTAGAAAGTATTGCAGAAGACCTTTAATTGTCACGGTCTTGTCAGGTTAAAGTTCTGTTTACAGTGAGTTAATACTTGCTATCTTTTTTAATACTGTTATGCCGTTTGTTGCTAAGGGTGATAAAAAGATGCAAATATTCCTGGAGAAATTATGAGAAAACATTTCCAATAAATCCTTATAAGGCTCTGACTTCAGAAATTTGTAATTATGGAGTCTTTTTGTAAGTGTAGAAATAATTAAGTGGTCTTAGCTTTTCAGAATAAATGGGGAAATAAACACTTTTTATTTCACTGGATTAAAGCTTTACTCTTCTGCCAACAAGTAACTTTATTGTGTGTCCAGAAAAGCAGTGCAATTTTTGTTTTGGCTGTTAATTCTATGTGGATATAACTAGAGCTCATATATTGTCTGCTGCTCTGTTATTTATTTTTTTCCCTGTTTTTTTGATAACAGTCTTATGGATATTTGCTTTCTACTAGTGTGTAAAAACATATTTATTTTGTGTGCTGAAGATACTATTTCTTCTATTACTTTAGGAATCTATCTTGTTTTTGTCTACTGACCTCTTACTGTGAAGTTCCGTGATTTGCCCAGCCTGGAATAAGGCACTGTAACTGTGGGCAGTGGTCTGCGGGCTCTGTGTTACTTCCTCCTCCTTTGTGCTGGCACTTAAACTTATTATTTTTTCCTGGGTTCATTTTCAGCTAAAGGAAATAGTTCCCTGGTCCAGCTGCCCATACTAATACTGATACTGAGGAAGGTGCAGAACTTTTCTTTTATCAGCACCCTGGACATGTATCGTCTTTTGAATCGTCAACAGGAAAACTATACCAGAAAGCAGCCTAACCTTTTAGCTCGCATGTAATGGTGTTATCTTGCTTTTAGCAGAAGACTGGAGCCTTATTATGTTTTTGACAAAGTAGTCGGGGAATCAAACTTCTGTTGTTGTGAAGTATAGGAAATAGCGTAGGTGGATTTTGTGTGTGTGTGTGGTTTTTTTTTTTTTGGTGGTATATTTTCTTCTTTACGTGGCAGTGAAATTGCGTTGTGTGTTCTTTCTTCTCCCTCTCCTTTTATTGGCTTATTACTTCTTACCTGAACTCTAGGAGATAAGCACTTTTTTAGATTTGCTTTTACTCTTTATTTCTGAATGGAGACATCTGCTTTCCTTAGTTATGTTTATCAGTTCGGTTACTAAGGGGTAATGCCAGGTTCTCCAGTACCATCTAATGTAAGTACAGAATTACAGGTTTCAGTGATATCACAAATGCAGCATTCTTTGACCTCTTCTGTCATACATTTTACGCAGAACTGGACAGTGCTAGTAGCAGATGGTAACAGAAGAGGAGCATATCATGGAGGCCAAAAATATTTGGCCTGCTATCTTTATCAGTATTGAACTAGATTTTTGGGAAAGCCCAGTTCTTATATGTTTTCTCAGATTAATTTTCCAGTCCAGAGGGATTTATACTTTGAGACCTCTTGATCCAGAGGTGATGTCTTTGTGTTTAGTAGCGGGTGATAGATTCTTGTTCCATTAATTTGTCGAATTCTTGATGAATTTTCAGTGTCCGTAGTGTCACATGGCAAGGAATTTCACAGCTGATCTGTACCTTGTGTGAAGATGTACGCTAGTTTGCTTCAGGCTAATTACTATACACTGTTATTTGATGCCATCTAGCACTTGCCTAGGAAGTGACAATGAACAGTTATTCCGTGTTCATGTTCTCAATACCTCTTCTGGTTTTATAGACCTCTGTTGTTCTTTTCATAGCTCCTTTTCAGGATGAAAGGCCCCAGACTGATTGGACATTCCTTGTACAGAAGTCTAATAATCACTTTTCATTTTCTTGATATCTTTTCCAAGTATACATAGGCCTTACCAGAGCTGAATATGAAATTATAGAAAAGCACATCTACTGCACTTGAGGCTATAAAATAATTACAACATGATTTAGTATTGTAAAGACTGCTAATACAATTATGAGTCACCATTTTTTTGGTGCAAACTTTAGCATTAATTACAAAATATTTTCACTAGTCTAAGTGAATAAACTTCCTTGAATCAGGAATAGATCCTGATATTGGAGCAGAACTCATCTTATTTTAGTGAGATCTTTGAAAAATGTTCTTAAAATCGAATGCACTGTTTCCTATATCTGCTCTGAAAATCGAAACCCTGGGTAAATTAAATTTTTGAAGCATTAACTGTTTTTACAGCCATAGTTAACGCTTTACTATTTGAGTTGTTGGTGTGGGGTGGAGCAGGGGGAGTTTGGATATCCTGGATAATAGAAACCACTTGAGTAATATGGTTACTAGAGAGCATTATGTAAACGTTTCATTTAGCCCATGCTGCAGACTCATCCAGAAACTTCTGCACCAAGTTGCCAGTGTGCCCGGTTCTGGAAGGATGAAAGAGTTTTTCTGAAGCCCTAGCACCAAGTGGACATGGCATTTTTTTTGTTGATCATAACCTTTCTCAGTGCACTGGAGAGTGCACAGATGCCTGACTGTTATTGGAGCAGTGATGGTGCCTGCTCTCTCTGTAAGCAGAACCTGTGGTGAGTCCAAGTAGGTAATTCTGTCTGGATT